CCTGCGACGCAACACTCGTGCTTGACCGCAGGGGCTCGCGAGACGCTAGCAGGGGCGCCTGGTGCTGCGACGCAACACGCATGCTTGGCCATAGGGGTTTGTGCGACGCTAGCAGCACCAGCGGACAGTGAGAGACGGGACGCAGTGCGGACGCGCCCTCCTGCGACGCAATACTCACGCTTGGCCGTAGGGGCTTGTGAAACGCAAGCAGGAGGGGTAACAAACACACGTGAGCAGACCCAGAGGGAGACGACACTTCGTCGTGGTGAGGGTGAGGCCGACGGCCATGAGCAAGCAATGCGCCTCTGTCAGTTTTCGCAGGCTGCTGCAACCCGCGCCTTACAACAGGCATTCAAAACGAGCGAGAGGTTTCGAACGCTCGTTAGGGAAAGCCGACTCCCAGCCCCTCCCCCTTCCTCTGAAACTCCCGACCTCTTCCAACTCCGTGGGCCGAGTTTTCCCGACTATTCTGTAGTGCCCCCCCCCCCCCGAACCGAAGCGGAAGGGCAGGGGGCGAGGAGGTCCGAGCAGGAGCGGGGAGGAGCGAGCGAAGAGGGCACACGTGAAGCGGGTGCTGTCCTGCCCCGCAGGCCCCCTGCATGGGGGGGAGGTCGGTGCAGGGAGGGCCCGAGCGCCCACCGACGCCCCGCGGCCCCCCGTCGGGAAAGGAACCACAGCCAGGCCACTCAGGTGTTTCAAGGCTGCGATGTCCTAGAGGCGATCGCAGCACCGAACAGGCCCGAGAGCTCGATCGATCGATCGATCGATATCCTCCTCCTCCTCCTCCTCCTCCTCCTCCTCCTCCTCCTCCTCCTCCCCCTCCTCCTTTGGTACATATGAACCGACCATGCTGTGCAGAGCCTGCTTTGGATGGAGTGCCGAAGGGCACCTTCGCAGGCGCAATATTCTTGTTTCACCCTGCCCGCGCGCCGTCTGGCGCAAGGTTTCTGACCTGACCTGTGCGCGTCCAGATTGCGGGGGTCTCTCACGCGTAACGCCAATTAGCGGCTGTGGCCCCGTCCATGCACCATACCCAAGCTCATCCACACACATCACTCACACCATTCACATGCAGACCCATACATAGTCCGACTCGCCCACATCCATTCACGCGTAGCCACAACCACCCGTCTACCCATACTCGCTTGTACCCAGAACCGTCCCGCACACGTAAGCTCGTACTCGCATGCCCGTGGCCACCACGACGTGGCGTGCAATGGACTTGGGCACGCTATTAGCCGCCAAGGGCTATTGCACGGGCCCGTTCGCGCCTTGGTTGTGGGGATGTCTCGAGCGAAATGTTTCTTATTGAAGGTAGACGCGTCTCTGCGCCAGCTGCCCGTCCAATGCTTACAGAGTGCTGCTCACAGACTTCCCGACGTTGCTCAAGTATGCTCCTTGGTCATCACTGGTGCTTCGACTGGCCAGTGCTCACTGGCGCGCCGTGCTGCGCACTGACATTCACTGCTGCGCATTACTAGCAGTGCTTGTCTACTGGGTGATCACTACTGCCGAGCGTTGCTGTGCTGAACAATCGGTTTTCCATTATGTCCTTGCTGCCCAATGCTGCTGCTCACTGCTGCGAACGGCTGGTTGGTGATGTTCACTGCGTGCTCGCTGCGAGTCAGACCTGCTCCTTGCTGGCTACTGCGGCCCACTGTTCGCTGCTTACCCCGTGCTTTTCAGTACCAATGAGCTCTGGCCAACGCTGTTCAATTATGGTCAGACTGCATCACTGCTGCGCACTGTTTACTCAGTGCTTGCGCTCGGCATGCTAACTGTCGGACCACTGTTTGCTAGCTAGCAGCCGCTCTCTGTCTACATGTTCCCACATTTCAAAGGAAGGGGAAAGGAACAGCATGTGGCTGCTGATGGGAGTGGGGAAGGGCATCATCAGCAGGAAATCGACAGGCAACCCATCAGGATGACCAGGGAGTTAACAACACTTCGATAAATAATAACAGTATCCGCCACCGTGCCCTCTGGCACTTTGAGGCGTGCTGGAATGCCAAGTGCTGTCTGGTAGGGATTCTGCAATCTTCTAGGGATCCCCTCCCCTCTCGAAGCGCTGGCCCACGCGCATCGCCCCCCCTCCCCGAGACTCTGTCGGCGCCCTTATACGTCCCTGGCGCTCTCCAAGGAGCCGAAGACGACCAAGATGGCCCAGACAGGCCACCGAGCCCGCCAAGATGGCCCAAGATGTCTCCAAGACGACCCAAGATGGAACCAAGACAGCCCAAGATGGCGTCAGGACTGCCCACGAGGCTTTCAAGACGGCTCCAAGAGAACTCTTAGCAGGACCCGAAGATGCCAAAATCGTTGGTTGTCCTTGGGTTTGTTTCAACTAGTATTTCGCGTTCTCGCCCTTTCGGTCTTCCGCCGGCTCAAGATGACGCCCAAGAGGCCTCCAAGATGGCCTTACGACGACCCAAGACGGCCTCAAGAGAGCCCAAGAGGCCTCCAAGACGGCCTCAAGAGGGCCCTGGAAGGCCCAGGACGCAAGAGAACCTCAAGGTGGCCCAAGAGGCCTCCGGAGGGACCCAAGACGTTATTAAGACGGCCCCTGGACGGCGCAAGACGGCCTCACGACAGCCCGAAGACCCCCCAGACGGCGACGAGGGACCCAAGAGAGCCGCAAGACGGCCAAAGAGGGCCCCACGTCGGCCCAAGAGGGCACCCGGGGACCCTCAAGACCGCTCCACAGGAGCCCAGGACAGCCCCGAGACAGCCCAAATAAACTTCATGAGAGCTCGCCGAGAAGTGAAGACGAAAGGTGTCAATGTGACGGTCCTCCGCCTCCTCCTCCTCCTCCTCCTCCTCCTCCTTCTCCTCATCCTCATCCTCGTCCTCCTTATCATCATAGTCAGTACCATCATCCCCACCACCGTCATCGTCCTCGTCTTCATCATCACCATCATCATCATCACCACCACCATCACCATCATCCTCATCCTCACTACCACCATGCTCGTCATTGAGAGCAACGTCTTCAGGTCCTTCCCTCGCTTCATCGTCCTACTCCGCTCAATGGGTGAACCATGGTGCTGCAGGACGGGCCAGAAACGGCGGAGGTGTCGCATGTGACACCTGTCGGCCTTGCCCGAGCGGCCGCTGCAGAGAGCCCTGGGACAGGCCAAGGAAGCCCAAAGTCCAGCGATGTGTCACATGTGACGACTTTCTAGGGGGAGGGGGAGGAGGAGGAGGAGGAGGAGGAGGAGCAGGAGGAGGAGGAGCAGCAGGAGGAGGCTGGGCTTGCTCCCACCGTCGCTGTAATGGGTGTGCCAATCGCCGCTCGAGGTGTCACAAGTTCGGGCCTCCCGTCTCCCTCGCGCAAGGGCCGCCGAGAATGCTGTGCTGGAGCGGCGGGATCAGCCGCAAGCAGCTGGCATCGAGAGGACAAACAAAAGAAGGGGTGGAAACACGGAAAGAGTTAAACAATGTTTGTTTGGTCGGCGGGTCGAGAGCGGGCCTCTTCCGGTTAAGAGCTAGGCGGGGCGCGCGAAGCAGTAATTGGGGAGACAGGGCGCGGGCGGGCGGGGCCTCAGGCGGCCGGAGGGTGCGGAGTAGGAAAGAGTTCAACAAGGGTGTGGAGGATGGGAACTTGGAAGGGCGGAAGAAGCTGCCACATGCTCCAAAGGACGATTGTTGTTGTCGTTCTTCGTCCTCATCCTCCTCTCTTGCCCCTCATCCGCCTAATCCTTTTTCATGTTACCCCTCTTCCTCCCTCTCTGTTTGGAGCACTTGGTGACGTGCGCAGAGACGACGACCTTGACAGACGACGACAACAAAGACGACTGCGACGACGACCAAAACCACGATACGGATCACGAGAAGAAGTACGTAAGAGGGAGGAGGAGGAGGAGGAGGAGGAGGAGGAGGAGCAGGAGCAGCGACGGACTGGTCAGGAACAGGTGGCGGAGGGGGGGTATTCTCAAGCCCACGCAGAGGAGAATCGACGAACATCCCTGCAGTGTGCCATTGGGTGGTGGTGGTAATGGTTGTAGTGGTGGTGGGCGTTGTGGGGTGTGGGGGAGAGAAACACCAACAAACAACAGATGCCCGACCACCCCGCTCTGGCATTTTTGTCTTATTCCCCCCCCTCGTTTACCACCCCCGCCAACACACCCGTCACCACCGTGCCCCCTGCCCCATCCCACCCCGCGACTTCCTCTCCCTCCTCCGCCAAACCCGCATCCACCCACTCATCCGCCCCGCCCCTCGAAAGGCGCCACAAAAGAGCGCCACACGTTAGAACTCGCGCAGGGTTCGATGTAGAACTACGTTTAGAATCGGATCCCCACTAATGGGGGACGAATGCGCGTCTGCAACACACACACACACACACACACTTTTCAAGTCGGCGGCGCAGGGGAGCATCAGGCGCGGTCAGCAGGTGGAAGTGCAAATAGCGATCGAACTTAGTCGAAACGCATCATGAAGGAAACGTCCACCACGGCAGTACACACACACACTTAGGGAATCGATCGTACCACACGGCGGCCCTCGAGACCGCCGCCCCAGAATCTCTGGTCCTCATTTTTCGGATTCGCTCATACTCAAACTGAGCCATACTCTTACAAATATTCACTCATGCCCAGACCTTGAGGACCCCTTCGAACCCCTGGAGACAGAACGGGCCCTCCCAAAAATCACTCCCAGAGAACTGGCTGACGCCTACCGTAGACAGACTCGCAATGACGTCGTCGCCGCTGCGCCCGCCAACGTAGCCACGAGAAGATGCTCGGCCTCCTGGGCGCCGTGCAGAGATACTCTTGTTGAACCATCTGTTTTGAAAACCACCCTAATCTGACGCCCGAATATCACACCACATCGCCGGTGAATGTGTGACGTCGATGAAGAAATTCGGGGTGCACATCGCGCCGCATCGCCGATGCATCGGCGACACGGCGCGATCCTCCGACCGCCTTCCTACTCTGGCCCAGCTTGGGTGGTCCTGGAGGGGCGACTCCCCTAGGCCCGTCCCGAAGGCGCACCCTGACCAGTGTCTCGAGCCGTGTCCCACCATCGAGCCGGGGCCCCTGTGGCCATACAAGGAGGAGAAGAAGGACTGGAGGGGAGGAGGAACGGCTCGACGCTGATGAGGCTACAGCGAGTCCGTGGATACCGCCTGCAGGTGAGGCGAGTAACCCTACGCATACAATGGGACCCAGACAGGCCACCAAGCACAGCGATGCGTCGCGCCAGCCTGCTCAGTACAGGACCAGTGCCCAGGACGCCGTGCTAGTGGCTGCCACCGAGGGGGCTGCACGTGTGGGCGCCCAGTGGGACGCCACCTCCACTCCCGACCCACCCTGCTCCTTCGGGCGACCCTCCTCCTCATCCGCCTCGTCCTCTGTTCCCCCCTGCCCCCACCCCATCCATCAATTCCTCCACGGACAGCCCAAGCCAACTGGGTTGCGAAAGTTCCCCAAAAGGATTGCGCATCTGAGTGCGTGTGCAGTGCGGGCTGATGTGGTCCCAAGTCGGCAATGGCACCGCACTGTCGCACCCATTATTCCCCCCAGACCCAGCCAGTCCAAGTATCACCCCTCCTTTCTAGCGCATCCTGCCAAATAGTGTTATGCGGAACGCCCGATTTGATCTTACAAGTGCATTTCCAATGCCTGCCAGCGTGATACCCCGCCGACAGCCCCACATCACCCCCCGTCGCAGGCAGCCACCGCGCCGAAGGCACTCCGACCCCCGTCGCGACGCGACGACGAGGCGAGGTTGACCCCCGTCGGGGGGGTACCCCCCCAGCTTATTAAGAAACCCAAAGTACATGATTGTACGGTGGATGTATGCTCTATTATATTTATGTGGTGCCAGCACGCGGTGCAATACATGTGATGCAGACTGCGTGGCGCAAACTGTGCGGTGCAAGCTATGCTGTGCACGGTATGTTGTGTCAGCTATGTGGTGCAAGCGCTACGGTGGTTGTGTTGTGTAAGCTACGTTGTTTAAGCTACGATGTCAAAGCTATGGGGTGCAAGTTGTGGCCGCCCAGCGCGCGAGGCGCCCACGAGGCGACCACGGGCGTGTACCAGGCGAAACCTCGGCTGACTCACCCAACGCACGAAGCGCCCACGAGGCGCCCACCAGCAGGCACCAGGCGAAACCTCGGCTGACCCACCCAGCGCGCGAGGTGCCCACGAGGCGCCCGCGGGCGCCCACGAGCGGGCACTGTGCGAAAACTCGGCTCACCTACCCAGCGCACGGGGCGCCCACGGGCGAGCACCCAGCGAAAATTTGGAAGAGACCACCCCCACCCCTGTCCATCCTTGGACTGCCTCCTCGCTACTTGGTATCTCTCCGTCCCCTCCTCTCTCTCTCTCTCTCGCAGCGGCTTCGGCCGTTCCCACTCCACCGCGGCGCCGCCCCGCGCGCGGCCCCGGTTCCCATGACGCGGCGGCGCCGCCGCGCGCCGGCGACGGTAGGTTTCGAAGAGCGGGGGGGGGAGGGGAGGGAGGCCACCTTGCAAACCATCCTCTCCGGAGGCCTCCGAAGGAAGGGGACGGGATGAGCGGCGGGGCCGGCGGGGCCACTCAACCGTAGCAAATGTACTACCGTAGACGTAGTGTATTGTCGGTAACATTGTACATGGAATACCTTGTCCGTAGCATTGTATACGTGGCACGTGCACGTAATGCCCTTGTCCGTAGCGCTGTAGAGCAAGTACAATCTGCATGCAAATTGGAGAGCCCAAATCAACGGCTTTTGGTAGGCCGGACTAACCGCGCTATTGCGCCATCCGATCGTAGACAACATCGAACAGGCTTTCGTCGTCGAGCACGCGGAGGAAGAACTGGGCAACCCCAGGCTGGTCAACCGCGGATGCGAGGTCGCACAACCACTCGAACACGTTTTTTTTTTATATATATATATATATATATATATATCGGCTCGTGACATTGGTGGGCTCGAGCCTTCTCTTGGTGCATGACGGCGAGACGCTTCTTGGGGTACATGTCGATGGGATCGACGTTGGCATTCTTAACGCTGATGGCCGTCGGTCTCGATCTGAATGCCCAGCATCCCGCGGCGGTATCCCAAGTGCCCAGACTACACTCGAGGCCATTTTGGCGCCTCGGGCCCTTTATGCCCGATTTCTCGGGCTGGCACCCCTTGTCGTAGTCCTGCGCGTTCAAGTAATTCGGCTTGTAGTCCAGCTATTACGCTGGTGATTATTGTAGGTCAGGTGGTTGCCCTCGTCGCCCTTGAATTTCAGCTCGTCGCCCTGGTAGACTTGCGGGAGGCTCTCGTAGTTTTGCTCATGGCCCGCGTTCCTCAAATTGAAGCCCTCGTACCTCCTCATGCGGCCCTTGTAACTAAGCTGGTGGCTCTCGGAGTTCTGCTTCTCGGCCTTGCAGTTCAGCTCGTCGCCCCAGTAGCCCCGCAAGAACCTCTGGTAGTTGTTGTGGTCCGCGTAGCTTTGGTTGTGGCCCTCGTAGCTCAGCAGGTGGTCCTCGTAGCTCTCGTACCTGTGCCTGTGGTCCTCGTAACTCAATTTGCGGTCCTTGTGGATGTGCCGGTGGCTCTCGTAGCTGCCTGCGTCTCTGGGCCTTGTAGCTCAGCTAGTGGCCCCCAAAGATCTGCTGTAGCTGTGCCTGTGGTCCTCGCAATTATGTTCGTTGTCCTCGTAGCCCGGCTGGTGCCTCCTGTAGCTCAGTTAGTGGTCCTCGTAGCTCAGCTGGTGCCCCTCGTAGCGCAGCATGTGGCCCTCGTGGTTCAGCTGGTGGTCCTCGTAATTCTGCCTGTGGCCTTCCTAACTCAGCTTGCGGGCCGCGTGGCTCAGCTAGTGGCTCTCGTGGCTCTGCTGGTGGCTCTCGTAGCTCGGGAGGTGGGTCGTGAGGCTCTTCTGGTGGCTCTCGTAACTGTGCCTGTGGTCCTCGTAGCTCAGCTCGTGGTCCACGAAGGGCCGCTGGTGACCCTGGTAGCTCTGCTGGTGGCTGTAGTAGCTTTGCTCGTTGCTCTCGAAGCTCAGGCTGTGGCCCTCGTTAATTTCCAAGTGGGTATCGTGGCTCGGCTGGTGGCTCTCGAAGCTCTGCTCGTGGCTCTTGTGGCTGAGTTGGCGGCTCCAGTGGCACTCCTGGTCGTCCACGTGTGGCTCAGCTGGTGGGCCTCGTGGCCCTGCTCGTGGCTCACGTAGGTCTGCTCGCGGTCCTCGTAGTTCAGGGCGCGGCTGTCGTGGCTCTGTTCGTGGCTCTCGTAGCTCGGCAACTGGGTGTTGAAGCACTTGTGGTGGTTCTCGTAACTGTGCGCGCAGTCCCCGTAGTTCAACCTGTGGTCCCCGAAGATCCCAACGAACATACAATAGGCTTCTTTCCCACACCCCAGGCACGGTGGCGGGATGGGCCGGATGCCATTCGATCCGCCGCCCCCTGTCGATTCATCGCAAGGGTGCCTGGCGTGCTGGACTTCTTACGGTTTTGGTTTTGGTTTTTTTGTCCAAAAGAACTCCCCCTGGCGCTTCGGCCCGTCCCGCCGAGGTCCCGGGAGAACTCCAGGCGCGCAAACGACCTCAACGTCCACAACAAATTCTCCAAGATGGCCCAAGATGGTCTCCAAGATGGCCACGTTGGCCCAAGATGGCCTCCAAGATGGTCCCAGATGGCCTCCAAATCCGCCGAAGATGGTCCAAGACGGCCTCCAAAACGGCCTCAGAGAGTCCAAGATAACCCCAAGTTCGCCCAAGAAGCCTCCAAGACGCCTCCAAGACGGCCCAAGAGGCCTCCAAGAGGTCCTCCAGGAGGGCCCGAAGAGGCCAAAATCATTGATTGTCCTTGGGTTTTTGAGGGATTTTGGAATTTGCTTCTTCTCGGCATTCCGACGGCTCAAGCTCCCAAGACGGCCCCATGACGGCCCAAGAGGCCTCCAAGACGGCCCAAAGAGGGCCCCAAGACGGCCCAAGAGGCCTCCAACACGCCCAAGATGGCCTCCAAAACGCCCAATATGGCTTCCAAGACGGCCCCGAAGCGCCCCAAGAGGGCCCCAAGTCGGCCCAGAAAGGCCCCCAAGACGGCTCCCGACGGCGTCACGGGCCAGGAACCCACCAAGATGCCAAAATTGGCTCGAAGCTGGCCCAAGACGGCCCAAGAGGCCTCCAAGAGGGCCTCCAGGAAGGCCAGAAGAGGCCAAAAACATATACTTGCCTTAGGTGTTTGAAGGAGTTTGACATGTGCTTCTTTTCGGCCTTCCGACGGCCCGATACGGCCCAAGAGCCCCCAAAGATCGCCCAAAGATCGCCCTAGAGGCCTCCGAGATGGCCCCAGAACGACCCAAGAGGGCCCCAAGACGGCCCCAAGAGGTCCCTAAGACGGCCAAGGCGGCCTTTAAGACACCCAAGATGGCCTCCAAGACGGCCCTGGAGCATTCCAAGAGGGCCCAAGTCAGCCCATAGAGGCCCCCCAAACGGCTTCCGACGGCGTCAGACGGACCAGGAGCCCACCAATACGGCCGAACATGGCCCTAAGATTGCCCAAGACGGCCCAAGAGGCCTCCAAGAGGGCCTCCAGGAAGGCCCGAAAAGGCCAAAATCATTGATTCCCAATGAGTTTTTGAAGGATTGTGGCATTTGCTTTTTGTTCGGCCTTCCGACGGCCCGAGACGGCCCAAGTGCACCCAAAGATCGCCCAAGAGACCCAAGTGCACCCAAAAAGGCTCCCAAGACGGCCCAAGAGGCCTCAAAGACGCTCAAGATGGCCTCCAAGACGGCCCGAGAGCCCTCCAAGACATCCTCCAAGAAGGCCCGAAAGGGTCAAAATGGTCTCCATACGGCCAAGATGACCTTCAAGATGCCCACGTGTTCCCCGAAGGCTTTCCAAACCGATTCGGGGAACACATGGTCCGATAGCTTGTCAGGTCTGGCATCAACGTTCGGCCACATAGGCGCTTCCAAAAAGGCAGGGGGCGGCGGTGATTCGCCGTAGGCGTCTTCGATCCGCCGCCCCCTGTCGATTCATTGCAGGGGCGTGCTGAATCCTCTCGGTTTTGGTTCTGGTTCTTTTTCCCCAAAAAACTCCCCCTGGGGTTTCGGCCCGTCCCGCCGGCCACCCGGAAGGACCCCAATGTTCCCAATGTTTCGTTCAAGATGGCCCGAGATGGTCTCCAAGATGGCCACGTTGGCCCAAGATGGCCTCCAAGATGGTCCCTGATGGTTTCCAAGTCCGCCCAAGATGGTCCAAGACGGCCTCCCATACGGCCCAAGAGAGTCCAAGACGGCCGAAGACGGCCCCAGAGGCCCCCCAGAGGCCCCCAAGACGGCCCAAGAGGTCTCCAAGAGGTCCTCCAGGAGGGCCCGAAGAGGCCAAAATCATTGATTTTCCGTTGGTTTTGAAGGATTTTCGATTTCGCTGCTTTCCGGCTTGTCGACGACCCAAGACGGCCCACGAGGCCCCCAAGATCGCCCCCACAGCGCCCAAGAGGCCTCCAAGATGGCCTGAGGACTGGCCAAGAGGCCCCCAAGACGGCCCCAAGAGGGCACAAAGACGTCCCAAGAGGCCTCCAAGACGACGCCCAAGATGGCCTCCAAGACGTCCCTGGAGCACCCCAAGAGGGCCCCAAGTCGGCCCAGAAAGGCCCCCCAAACGGCTCCGACGGCTTCAGACGGGCCAGGAGCCCACCAAGATGGCCGAAATTGGCTCGCAGCTGGCCCAAGTCGTCCCAAGAGGCCTCCAAGACGGCCTCCAGGAAGACCAGAAAAGGCCAAAAACACTGATTGTCCTTTGGTTTTTGAACGATTTTCGCAGTTGCTTCTTTTCAGCCATCCGAAGGCCCGATACGGCCCAAGAGCCCCCAAAGATCGCCCAAACATCGCCCAAGAGGCCTCCCAAATGGCCCCTGAATGGCCCAGGAGGGCCCCAAGACGGCCCCAAGAGGCCCCTAAGACGGCCCAGGAGGCCTTGAAGACGCCCAAGATGGCCTCCAAGACGGCCCTGGAGCATTCCAAGAGGGCCCCAAATCGGCCCAGTGGAGCCCCCGAAAGGGCTTCCGACGGCGTCGGACGGGCTAGGAGCCCACCAGAACGGCCGAAGATGGCCCTAAGATGACCCAAGACGGCCCAAGAGGCCTCCAAGAGGGCCTCCAGGAAGGCCCGAAAAGGCCAAAATCATTGATTCCCCATGAGTTTTTGAAGGAGTGTGGCATTTGCTTTTTGTTCGGCCTTCCCACGGCCCGAGACGGCCCAAGTGCACCCAAAGATCGCCCAAGAGGCCCAAGACGACCCCAAGAGGCTCCCAAGACGGCCCAAGAGGCCTCCAAGACGCTCAAGAGTCCTCCAAAACGTCCTCCAAGAAGGCCCGAAAGGGTCAAAATGGTCTCCGGACGGCCAAGATGACCTTCAAGATGCCCACGTGTTCCCCGAAGGCTTTCCAAACCGATTCGGGGAACACATGGTCCGATAGCTTGTCAGGTCTGGCCTCAACGTTCGGCCACATAGGCGCTTCCAAAAAGGCAAGGGGCGGCGGTGTTTCGCCGTAGGCGTCTTCGATCCGCCGCCCCATGTTGATGCATCACAGGGTGCCTGGCGTGCTAAGAATATTTCGGATTTGGTTGTGGTTCCTTTTCCAAAAAAAACTCGTCCTGGGGCTTCGGCCCGTCCCGCCGGCCACCCGACGGGCGCAGAATCCTCCCAAAAACTCTCCCAAGACGGCTCAAGATGGTGTTCAAAACCGCCCGGATGGCCCAAGATGGCCTCCAAGATGCCCCCAAGACGGCCAAGATGCCCTCAAAGACGGCCACGCTAGCTCCAACATGCCTCCAAGACGGCCCAAGTGGCCTCCAAGACGGCTTCCAGGAGAGCCCGAAGAGGTCAATAAGTTATCATTGATTTGCCATCGGCTTTTGAAGGATTTTGGTTGTTGCTCCTTTTCGGCCTTCCGACGGCTCAATACTGCCCAAGAGGCCATCAAGATCGCCCCGAAAGTGCCCAAGAAACCTCCAAAACAGCCCCAGGACGGCCCCAGGGCGGCCCAAGAGGTTCCCAAGACGGCCCCAAGAAGGCCCTAAGACGGCACAAGAGGCCCCCAAGAAGCCCCACATGGCCTCCAAGACTGCCAAGATGGCCTCCAAGATGCCTCCAAGACGGCCAAGATGGCCTCCAAGACGGCCAAGAGGGCCCCAAGATGCACCCAAGACAACCCAAGATGGCCTCAAGATGGCCTACGACTGCCCAAAAGGCCCGCAAGAGTCTCCCAAGACGGCCCAAGAGCCCTCCAAGACGTTCTCCAGGAAGACCCGACAGGATTTGAATCATTGATTTTCCTGAGGTTTTTGAAGGATTTTGGCTGTTGCTTCTTTTTCAGCTCTCCGACGGCCCCAGATGACCTCAAAATGGCCTTAGACTGCCCAACAGGCCCGCAAGAGGCCTCCAAGACTGCCTAAGAGCCCTCCAAGACGTCCCCCAGGAAGGCCCGAAAGCTCGGAAACCACCTGGTCCGATAGCTCGCCCGACTCCGTGTTCCCCGAAAGCTTTCGAAACCCACTCGGGGAACGCGTGGCCCGATAGCTTGGCCAAGCTCAAACCCAACATTCGGCCACGCAGGCGCGTCCAAAAAAGCCACGGGCGGCGGTGATTCGCGGTAGACGTCTTCGATATGGACACATTGCTGTTATGGCTGCTCCGTATGCTTGCTGGCGCACTGCTCCATCGACTCAACCCATGCTCTTCCATGGCGTCGTCTTGCCTCGTGTGGTCCACCCAATCGGTCCCGCGATCCAACATTACGCTGGTGCAGTGGTCTGCTATGGAATTGTACCGTCTTGGGTCCCATTCCACAAAAAGGCGTTGTTTCCAGGCGGGGATTACCATCCCTCTTTGAGCAACCAGTGTAAGTGCTGAGCTATACGAACACTCATCGGCCGCTCCCAGAGGACAGTTCTTGAATCTGCTGGCTATCGGTTTGTACCCGCAGCCTCTTCCCTAGTTGCCCCCACTGCAGCTCTCGAGGGTCACGCAAACCGAGAGGGAACGAATTGACAGCCTCAGCCAATCATCACCATATGTTCCTTTCCTGAGGGGCAAGACACGGGGACCACGACCAAGATGGAACGCGGAAACGTCGTGTCGAACCTGGTCCCCGTCGATCTTAATCAGCGTCATTTCGTGGATCGTCCTCGCGAATCTGCGACGGCCGACACGGACCGTGACCAAAATCGGCCCCGACGAGATCCCGCGTCATCTTTGTCAGGGTCCTCGTGCTCCTCCCCTCGCCTTGTGGATGCCATGACAGTGGAAGCACTAACAATCCTATCATTGAATTTCAGACGTGTTTAACATGTGTAAAACATGTTCCAACAACGTTTCAAACATGCGCTTGCGGATTTGAAACGTGTTTGACACATGGTTAGACATCTGGAAATCACTTGGCAGCATGCTTCCTCTCCATGGATCGTCCTCCACAACTGAAGGGGCCTTGGGACACACAAATAAATACACACAAATAAGAAGATTCCCCATATTTTCCTATATTTTCTGGGTTTTTGTCTTCCCCCCCACTTCCCATATTTTCCCATATTCTCTGGGGAATCGACGATTAATTGTGTTTGTATGATTTTTCCCTCCTGAACAACCCTCGCCTTCCTTCCCGTCCTCCCTTCGGGAGCTGCCCCCTCCCCGCCTCTGTTGCCGCCCGCTGCGAGCGCAGGCAGGCTGCGGGATGCCTCCGGCTCGCGGGCGAGCTCAGGGGGCGGGGGGCGCCAGAGAAGGCACCAGCCCTGCCCTCCACGGCAGAAGAACGGGGGGGAAACGGGCGAGGGTGGACTTTCCTCTCGTCCGCTTTCGCTTCGTCTTCTTTCGACTCGTCCTCGGTCGCTTCGTCCGCGCTCCGAGGCGGACGGATCGCACAAGACGAAGCGAAGCTCGGATGGAACGGAGCAGCAGCGGAGCCGAGGGGGGTTTCTGAGGGCGATCACCCTTAAAGGGGCCCCAGGACACACAAATCCCCATAATTTCCAATATTTTCTGGGTTTCTGTCTTCCCCCCCACTTCCCATATTTTCCCATATTTTCCTGGGAGTCGACGATTCATTGTGTCTGTGTTTTTGTTTTCCCTCCTGAACCCTGTTCTCCTAGGTCGCCCCGCTTCGCGCCCTCGCGCCCCGCAGCGCGCGACGCGCGCTTCTGTTCGTGCCCCCGCGCCGCCGCCACTGGAGAAGGGCAGCTGCCCAACCTGAGCCGCGACGCGCGAGGCGCGATTCCCTTCGCGCCCGTCCAGAGATGCCGTTAGGGGGCCGCATGCGAACCCTACCCCTACCCCCCACGACTTCTGAGGGGGCTGGGCTGCCACGCCGAGCACGCGGAGCCCGAGCGCTGGATTCACGTGCGGAGGGCCATGGTGGCAGGCCGCTCGAGGGCCGGGAGCTGGACGGACGCGCGGCCACGTGCGGATGCTGCTGCCGCCCAGGTTGGCCGCGTCGTGCATTCCAGCCTCCCGACAGGCCCCCTCGCCCGACCGCTGCAATTTCCCCGTCGATGGGAGCCCACGACTCGGTTAATGCTCCTGCGACCGTCCTCTCCACCGTGCCGCTGCCTTCAATTCCCTTGGATTCCTACCGTGTGCATTCAGAAGCAGCATGAGGACAACCGAAGAGGGAAGATGGAGCAGGACGGTGAGGACAGAGCGGAAGGGGCAATGCGAAGTGATAGGGAGAGGTGAGAGAGCGAGGAGAGGGGATGGAGGGTGGGATATGGATGGGGGAGGCCAGGAGAGGAGGGGAGGGAAATGGAAAGCATGGAAGGCCATAAGGGGGACGGGGAGGCGGGAAGGGGAGGAAGGACAAGTGGAAAATGGTGATGAAAAAAGAGAGAGAGAGAGAGAGAGAGAGGCGGTGACGACGCCACTGTAAAATCCAGCCGCGCGGGCAGGCGAAGGCGTGGGTCCGCGGGAGCGCAACTCCGTTACGCCCTGCGCTCTGGGCGCTGCTGGGCTGCCAGGCAGCTGCTGCCACCGAGAGGCGACGGGGCGAGGTGCATGACAGGGGTGTGTGTGGCGCGCGTGGGCGGGCAAGGGATGCGGCGGCCTACTCCTCCGGTGTCCAGACGCTCCCGACAGTTGCTCTGATCAGTGCGTTCGTGCAGCAGGCCACTTTTTTCTGGTGGTGGTGTTCCATCGGCAGCGCCTCGCCGAAGCATGGCTGGCATCCTTGGGCCAATAGACTTGGACGAGGGACAGGCGAGCCAGTGGAGCTTACTTGTCATTGCACTTGGTGCTTTTTTCGTTCGAGGGGTTCGTCACCACGTCCTGCTCATCCTTCTCCTCTCTTCCTCCACAGCGTCGTCCTCCTCCGCTTTATCCTGCTTGCCCCTCCCTCACCCTTCTACTCCTGCTGTTGGCCGTAGCCATTCGGCTCAAGGGTTCTGGAATTTGTCCCAGGTCATTCCCGCCGCACGCACTCCGTGACTGTAGTGTTCGGAAGTTGTTTCCTCATGTACGTTCATCGACGGTGCATTGGCCATGGCAGGGCGCACCCTGGACACTGGTGCCAAAACCACTGTGCCCGAGCTGAAGGATACCCTGCGGTTTCGCGGCGAACGCGATATTGCAACGAGAGTTGGGAAACTCTCGAGGCTACGTAATTCTGCCAGCCACCCCGACGTCGGGTTGGCCTCTGATGTCACCAGGGCGCTCCAGGTCGAGCCGAAGTTCGCCGAGGAGGACCCCGAGCTTCACAAGGAGTGCGAGGTGTCCAAGGAGCTGCCCGTCGCGCTGAAGTCGGAGTGCAGACGGAGGCCGTCTGGGTCAGCTTCGGCGTGGACAACGTGCACACTGCGATGGAACACAACGGGTGCGCAGACTACGTGGCCGTCCAGGCGGAGGAGACGTTGCCAGCGCCCGTCAACCCATCCAGCCTGGCCATGGAGGTCATGTGCACGGTTGAGCGCTATTCCCAAGATCCTGACAACGTCGTCACCGCGGCCACGACGCAAGTGCTGGAAAAGTCCCCCTCCCTGGACCACAAGCAAAGGACCGATGCTCTGGGTGCGAGCGTTGACGGGGCTGCTGACGACGCCTCGGTCGAGGCCATGCCTTCGGCAGATCCCAGCTTGCAGCTGCCAACTTCGTCCCTCAACGTGTTCTTCTCCACGGGTGTGAGCAGTATCCTCAAGGCGTTGTGCGAGGAGAAGCCGAATGACATCGAGAAAATCACAGATTTTCTCAACCAGGCCATCTTCGCTTCCGAGCTAATCGATGACAATGCCAAAAGAGCTCAGGTGCCCATGGAAAGTGTCCGCCCTGTCTCGGCCGCGAACATCCTCGCGAGATGTGCGCTCGCAGCGGGTACATCGCGCGCGGCAGGTTTTGGCATGCAGCCGCAGGATAGCAAACGAAAGATCAAAGCGAAGCGCCATCGGAAGTAGGTCCGCCTGAGGATGCGTATGTATGCGATCAGCAGTGTTGATTGTAGTTCTGGCTGCGTGTGGGCAAACACGCACATCGCGCAGCCTCTTCGCGGTGCCCGTCTTCCGCTCGGCAGCCCCGTGCTGCACTCCACGTCCTCGTGCAGAGTGGTGGCTGCGAGGTGTTCCCGCGGGAGCCTCCCACCTGCTACCCTGAACACGCTCCTCTTGCCATCGCTCGGACGTCCATTCCACGTGCATGATTTGGTTTCGTGCGTGCCTTCCTCTCAGGATGATCCGGGATGCTCACCAATGACCCCCGCCGAGAAAACGCGCACACGTCCGAGCGATGCGCCACGTCCTTGTCGCTGGCCTCGGCTCGGAACGCTGTGGGCGGCCCCGCCTGGGTCTCTTCGACCCTGGCCGGTCGCTGCGCCCGCTCCTGGGGGGGCCCTTGGGCTTCGGTCGGGCCCTCCCCGCGGAGGTGGGGCCTGAGGAAAAGGAGGAGGAGGAGGAAGAGGAGGAGGAAGAGGAGGGGGAGGAGGAGGAGGAGGAGGAGGAGGAGGAGGAGGAGGAGGAGGAGGAGGAGGAGGAGGAGGAGGAGGAGGAGGAGGAGGAGGAGGAGGAGGGGAGGGGAGGGAGGGAGGGAGGGAGGGAGGGAGGGAGGCGGCGCGGGCAGGCCGGGGCCCCCCGGGCGGGGTGTGCCCCGTCTCCGACACCCCCCCGCGTGGGCCGCAGACGCGGCACGCTCCTGTCGGTGCCCTGCCTTCGGGCCCTCGCCCTGGGTTCGGTCTCCGACTGGGCCCCCAGCGTGCGCGCGAAGGTCGGCACGTCTCCGTCCACCCCTCCTGCTGGCTTCCATGCTGCAGCTCGGTGCCGGTCGTGGACCTGCGCCTCTGCTGGCTCGCTCGCTCCTGCTCCTGCTCTTTCTCCCTCCTCCTCAGCCTCGAGCTCTATCGGATCGGTTCGAGCATGGACGTTGCACCGTGGAGACTCTGGCGGCTCTTGATGGCACGGCATCGTTACGTAATAACGAAAACGCTAATCGTTTTTGATGGCCAGGTTTGACTGACTACTCTGACCGATGCTCCTAGAGTGAGTCACAGGGATCACAGTTGAAGAACTGCCCCGTCTGACTGGCCCAAGATCGCCATTTGGGGTTGCTCTGACGGATGCAACTCGGCTGGGAATTGGTTATCGATGGGCTTGCGGGGATGCCCAGAAAGCCTAAAGAGTCCAGTTACGGTGGGCCCCCGGCTGGCCAATGGAGCTGAGAGCAAGGGGCACCTGTTGACAAACGCTCGCTGTGCTGGGCATGCCACTTGAAAATGGCTCCGCCATGTGTCACCAGTCGGGCAACAAAAGGACCAAGATGGCTCCAAGACGATGAGATATTCGCATGACGACGGTCCCAAAGGGCCTCAAAAGGATCCCGAAGAGGCAATCAAGATGCCCAAATCCTTCGTTCCCGGAGGACTGTCGTATGATTTGACAATTCGCGCAGTTTTGATCTCACAGCGGCCATGACGGTGAAAGACGCCCTCAAAATCGCCCCAAGACGGCCCTCAAGAGGGCTCCAACAGGTCCCTAGAGGGCCATCAGACGGCCGCCGCTGATACTCGTCTTCCTGCGGTTGGCAGCAGCAGGCAGCAGCGGGGCGGCATTACAGCAGGGCGGCGTCTGGGCAGGACGCCTGATGCCTCGGGGGCGCGCCCTCCTTACCACAGAAGGAGCAGCAAGCAGCGGTAAGGAGCAGCAAACTTTGGAGGGCACAAGAGGCTCAGAAGACGCCTGAAGAGTGCCCGAGGGCGCTGTAAGAGTGCTCCCAGAAAAGCTCGCGGCCGTCCAAGGTGGACCCGAGGCGCCCCAACATCGGGAGCGGCCAAGAGGGGGGTGTCCAAGAGGGGGGGGGTGCAAATCATGACCAGCGGCATGTGCGCGGCCCAGCGGGGGGGGGCCAGGGACGTAATGAAACAAGAAGAGGCGCCATGAAATCTGGGGAGATATCATGGCCCTCGCCATGATATCCACCCCCCCTAGTCATCACCCCCCTCTTTTCCGCCCCCGAAAGGTGGACCCGAGGCGCCCCAAGAGGGCCCCAAGATGGCCCCCGGAGACGTTTCTGGGCAGCCGCAGGGCACGCCGGAAAAGAAACACCCCCCGGACCCTCGAAGGGACGCCAGGGCGGCCTCCGGAGGCGCGAGGGAGGCCGGCCCAGCGCCAAGCCTGAGCCGTGCCTTGGAGCACTCGCTGACTGCGAAGCTTGCCTCAGGTCGGGCATGTCCCCACTACAGGGGGGATCCTGGGCGAGAAAGGAAACATGCTCCAAAAATACCCCAAGTCAAAACAAAAAATGGTCCGCCATGTGCCACCAGTCGGGCAACAAAAGGACCAAGATGGCTCCAAGACGACGAGATATTCGCATGACGACGGTCCCAAAGGGCCTCAAAAGGATCCCGAAGAGGCAATCAAGATGCCCAAATCCTTCGTTCCCGGAGGACTGTTGTATGATTTGACAATTCGCGCAGTTTTGATCTCACAGCGGCCATGACGGTGAAAGACGCCCTCAAAATCGCCCCAAGACGGCCCTCAAGAGGGCTCCAACAGGTCCCTAGAGGGCCATCAGACGGCCGCCGCTGATACTCGTCTTCCTGCGGTTGGCAGCAGCAGGCAGCAGCGGGGCGGCATTACAGCAGGGCGGCGTCTGGGCAGGACGCCTGATGCCTCGGGGGCGCGCCCTCCTTACCACAGAAGGAGCAGCAAGCAGCGGTAAGGAGCAGCAAACTTTGGAGGGCACAAGAGGCTCAGAAGACGCCTGAAGAGTGCCCGAGGGCGCTGTAAGAGTGCTCCCAGAAAAGCTCGCGGCCGTCCAAGGTGGACCCGAGGCGCCCCAACATCGGGAGCGGCCAAGAGGGGGGTGTCCAAGAGGGGGGGGGTGCAAATCATGACCAGCGGCATGTGCGCGGCCCAGCGGGGGGGGGCCAGGGACGTAATGAAACAAGAAGAGGCGCCATGAAATCTGGGGAGATATCATGGCCCTCGCCATGATATCCACCCCCCCTAGTCATCACCCCCCTCTTTTCCGCCCCCGAAAGGTGGACCCGAGGCGCCCCAAGAGGGCCCCAAGATGGCCCCCGGAGACGTTTCTGGGCAGCCGCAGGGCACGCCGGAAAAGAAACACCCCCCGGACCCTCGAAGGGACGCCAGGGCGGCCTCCGGAGGCGCGAGGGAGGCCGGCCCAGCGCCAAGCCTGAGCCGTGCCTTGGAGCACTCGCTGACTGCGAAGCTTGCCTCAGGTCGGGCATGTCCCCACTACAGGGGGGATCCTGGGCGAGAAAGGAAACATGCTCCAAAAATATACCAAAGATGATCAAAAAATCGTATAAAAAATTGTCCCCAGGCTACTTTTTGACTATCTTTGAACAATTCCCCCTGTACACAGGGGCAGGCCCGACTCAAAGCTTGCCCGCCGGCTGCCCCGTGGGGGCCCGCCGTGGCTCCCGCCCCGCGGGCTGGAGAAGGCCGTGCGCAAGCAGCCTCGACGCGAGGATGCTTTGTGATTTTCCTGAGAAAGAGTGCCAGCTGGCGAGCGCGCGAAGGAGGGGCGAGGCCCAGTGGGCACGGGGAAGGGGAGGGGGAGTCGACACAAACCCCAACCTGCTGGA